CATCATTCGTATCCCAAGATTTATTAGCACTGATAAAATCTATACCCGGAAGTCCGCTAAAATATATTTTAACGGGCTATATTTTACTGGCTGTTGTTATGAACGCGCTATTAAAGCGTTGTTTAAATAATAGGTTGCTACGGAGCTTAGTACGTGTTAACAAACGTAAACAAAAAAGTCTTTAAATCTTGTACAGCAGATTTGGTATATTGTGTCTAAGTTTACTCCCACCAGGGAGAAGGAAAAACGTTCGAAAAAGCCTTGGATACGGAAATTTAAATACAATACATTGTTTACATCATTTCCGTCAACGATTGCATTTACAAGTCCAATATCTTATCGATGTTTCGTACGTGACGTGACTTTGTTTCAGTTGAATTTGCTGTCGGTTGGCGCATACTCTTTAATAATTTGTTTAATGCAAAAGTAGAGGGTGTATATATATTTAGACAATGCCAGTAATGTAATGTATGATTGATGCTGACCAATGTATTATGTACAGATTGAAATGTAATAATGATGTTGATACGTAATATAAGATTAATGTTGATAAAATGGACAGTATACATACTAAAATGTAATGGTTGAATGTAAATTAATTAATATGTAAGTAACAAATTATGTAATACACTATGGATTTTATGTAGCTTGAAGATGCAATAAAGGTAACTCCGAAACGATGTGATAATATGGTTGTTACTGATGACTTATGTGTAACCATTATCATTATGCAAAAATTAAGTCCTAAGTTGTCTATAAAAAGTAAAGCAATACGTGGTATTTAAAGGAAAGTATTGTAATGGACCACACAGGCGCAATTATTCGTGTAATACGCCACTGTGAGTCACACTATCATAGAGGGGGGTTGCCATCACACTTAAGATGCGACGGTCGTTTCCAGACACCAGGATGCATGCGCTGGATTTTTTTAGGAGGGCGCCAAGCGAATGCCTTACCTGTTATCTGGGCACCGGCGTTGAGGCATCTTCAGAGGTGGGCACCCTGGTTCGAAGGATTGCATTTGCTTACTGGCTATAAATAATACATTTTTTGTGTGATCACCCAACCAAAATGACGGAGACGCATTTATTGCTATAGAAAATTGCGTCTTTTACATTAGTGTTCCTTCTAGTGCTTTACTCTGGTTATTGACTAAAATGGGTGTGAACACTTACAGAAAATGGTGAATGATTGAAATTCTGCTACCTCAATCTGAAAGGATTACACGTCCAAATATCGGCCGGCGGCAGCAGATTACCCGTTGAAATACCATGGAAGTCTCCTATAGTCGGCAGGAACACGACGCCTGGCTGAGATGGAGATCGTCCACGGTCATTAAATGAGTCAGTTTTTTGATGCGCGGTTCTCAGGTCGTCATACGTCGCCTGGACCGCGTATTATCATTGGCAGCCGACAGCCGAATAATTGTGCTGAACACCCTCTCGTGTAATTTATGGGTGTTACTCCTACTGTCCTAGCCCGGCATCCGGAATAAATTCCGATGCTGGAATAATGGCTGGTAGAACCAGGAGACTAGCGATCGTTTTCGTATGGCTGTAGTCGCCGAAGAACTCTCTTTAATAGTCGACGAGCGGTCTTTCTCCAAAATGCCCCCTTCTCTCAAAATTCCCGTCCTATCACGTGCTTAGCGCGAAGCTTTCCATAGGCTAGTCTTCTACGGAGGTTCGTGATTTGTCACGTAGGAATTTCTGGTGGACTACTCTCGCCTCTTAATGTGACAGTTCCGGTAGTCAGTCACCTATTGCTACACACAAAGATGGAAGGGCGCTTTTCGGGGGAGGACGCTTGCTGGGGAATACTGGGTTAGAGGCGCACACGCAGCTGCGCGTGTCGAATTGTCAACGGCGCTCTTCGCCTCGAAAGATATTAATAGAGCGTGACGCAAGGTTCGCGCTGTGCGATGGGTCTTTACGACTCATTGCAGTATGTTTGCGGAAGTGGGGTTTGGCTATGCGCAAAGAATTGTAAGCAAATCGCAACTGCCCCACTCCAAATGCGCTGATGGCGCGACGCCAAAGTGAGGTGAAATCTCTCCCCCCCCCAGTCGAGAATACGCCCTCTCCGCCGGCTGCTACCACATTGAAGACTGCACTGTTTATGCGACATCGCCGAGTAATATCAGTGATATTTCTCTCGGCACCATGAAACGTATGTACCCGTCCCGGAAGGCGTACAGGCTCGGCAGACGTGCAGCAAAGCGGCAAGCAGCACAAGGCGCGGGTAACCCTGAAGCGCCCCCGTCCACACCACATCGCCGCTGGCGCGGGCACCCACACTGGCTTTGACCTCCTCTTCTTCCCCTCGAAACCTCCCGGAGATGTCGGCTCCCTCCAGCAGCAAGTTCTTGCTGCACTTAACTTGGACTCTTACCCCTGGAGAGGGAAGGGAGCACGTCTGACGACCTTCCGCCGTACCTTCAGGATGCCAGTGATCTATCGCCGGGCAGGTTGCATGTCCTCCGGAGGCTCGAGTCTTGGCAGTGGCTCGTAGCGTGAGACCTATTCCGCAATAGCCGCTGAGTCTATTAGAGGTGGAGTATCCCCACTGCCAACACAAGCAGGCGCTTCTACAGCGCCCGTGGACAGCGTCCCTAGCAGTTCTAACCCACCGAGCCCCGTAGAATGGGTGCCCTGAGCGACCACCATTCCAACCGCCCAGAGCACCCATGGGCGGTCGCTGCGGCAGGCCGAGAGCACCTGCTCACCATGGCGACCCTACCGCTGTGGATGCCAGTCAACTCGAGTGAGGCCGGTGCTGTGGACGTCGATCTGGCGCCCATGAATAACAACCCCACTAACGTACAATCTGTCGATGACGCGCGGGGCAGCGGCGGAGGTCACGGCCAAGGACGGGGTGCGCTTTGAAGGAGTAATAGAGGTCTGGGTGATCGCTCCCGGGACCGGCCTCTGCCACAGTAATGTTGGTCCTGGCGATGGGAACCCGAATAAGCCTCTCCCTCCCATTCGCGACACAACCAGCTCAAATCCCGCGGGATCCTGTGGGTGGAAGAACTTAGCAATGACCGAGTTCAAAACTCTAATGGGCCAATCAGACACTGCGGACAGGTTCTCTGAGTTTGTCGTGCTGCAAGAGGAATGCATAGGCGAGATTCTGACGTCCCTGCGTCAATTACATCAAAGTATTCTTTGACCATGCCGCCCACCCCCATCCCATGCTCGCGGCGCTGCAATGGACATCACGGCACCGGATAAGCGATTCCGCGCGAATCGGCGGCATCAGAAAGCTGATGCGGGTTGACAAGAAAGGCGCCCCTAAGGAATAAGTGTTCTTCTTTACCGCCATTTACAGCTGTGTCCCCGAGGTAGATAGACCCTACCGTTTCGAGGTTCAAGAGCTGCGTAAGCTTGCTGTGATTTGATTTATTTAGTCTAAGAATCGTAGACCTGTATGTGACGTATGGGAGAGAACTAGCAATGCATGTTTTCTTGAGCTCAGAATCTCTTCACAACATTTTAACTATAAACTGTTGAATGATGAATAAAAGGTAAAAATAATATTTTACTTTTAACTTGAGTTTGTGTACCGATTTTAATTGCTTAATGTACTGGCTTGGCTTGTACTTCACAGTGTTCAACGTCCATAAACGTGCCGGTACATACCGGTATGCTAACTGGCTTTCAGCTAGTTGCCGCACAGAGTGCGCGACTTGCGATCGTTGATTTCAAAATGATTTCGTACATCGTTGTTCCTACACTTTACACGCTTATGGGAATGCTGTAGACCTTCGGTTCGTTGAAATCCCTTTTTTTTAAATTCCAAATTAACGACTTACTACCACAATTATGAATATATATTTTTATTTTCTCGCGCTTAAGAAGGGAAAAAATGTGAATTTTCGACAGGAAAACTCTCACTACAGGACCCTGGTTACAAAAATGTGAATAATCCATTTGCTAATTTAGAAGCAAAAGAAAGTAGTGAAACATGTGAAGCCGGAATGTATGTTTTGTGGGTCCTTGATACCGAAAACGGAAAAACGTGTCCGTTTGTCAACAACGTTAACATGAACCGTTCAAGGCAATTTTCTTAAAAATTGATATTCCCCGATCAACCTGGCTGATATCGCGGCTCCTTTAATTTGAAATAGATATTTTAAATGTGGGGGGTTCTTTACATTTAAGAGAATGATACATATATTAAAGATCGATATTTTTTCCCTTAATAAAATTTGTTCATTCAAGATAGATTTTGAAGGTCATGTACAATTTTTCGAAAATTTGGGTATTTTTCGCGTAATTTTGTGTGAAATATTAAGTTAGGATCCATTGTTTTGGTGAAATTTTGTTATTAGATTGATAGATGTTTAAGAAAATGGTGCACATCTAATGTTTATAAAAATCCTAATTTTTCCAAAAATAGAAAAAATGCAAAATTTCTTTGTGTTCCTACGACTACAAATATTAGGATATTTTTTTTCTTAATGAAATGTTATTCAAAAACAGATTTTTATATAAGGCCATGTTGAGTAGTTTGAAAATGAGTATTTTTTGTGCATTTTGGTTAATATAAAATTCAGACTCCAAAACTTCACCCAAGCCTGTGATATTTTTCTATTAACATGTTTGTTTTTACTGTCCCAAATATACATACTCCTGAACATAATATCTGGACCTAGTTTGATTTGAATTTCATTACTCTTTGACATTAATTTTGCTTTCCTTACGATCATGTGTAATCCTGTTTCCTCACATTTAATTTGTGGCTCCATAGTTTTGAGTTCTGCTGCTGACTGTGAGAACAATACTACCTCATCTTCAGACTGCATACCAATGGGATTGTTGGAACTCAAATGAAAATATGCATAATATGGACAAAAACTTTTCTTGAAAACTTGGATTATTCATTGTCCAAAAAAAGATACCAATTTAATAAAATGATTAGTGACATTAATATTTCTATGAATTGACTGTTTAAATAAACAATTAACTTTAAAACATATTTTTAAAGTATTTTTTCTTAGCTGCTTAGTGTATTTTATAATGGATACCCACTGTTTACATTAAAAAGAAATTCATTTTTGTATACATTTTCTTGTAGTCTCAAATTTTAGACACCAGCAATCTTTAGAGACAATCCTATACGAGGCTGTGAAAACCATAGTGGCCTCAGTTGTCTTTGCTAAAATTTGTAAATGCAAGATTCTCAGTTCAAATCTATGTTCAGAGGTCATTAGAAGCACTTCACAGAACAATTACCAACATTAACACCAAAGAGAAATTACGCTTATTATTAAGTTTGTGGTTGGACGTTTGATTATCTATTGTCAATTTACATCTTATTTGACAAAATGAATTTTTTAACAATAATTGGTGCATAAAGAATTTAGGTTCCAGGTGTAATGAAAACATTGTAATAAATTGCAACAAGGAACAAATTTTTACAAATACTAAAGAAAAGTTGATGTGCAATATTAAGTTGAGCCATTAACAAGAAATGTAATTTCAGTTGACATGGTAAGAAAATTAAACTAGAACATCCACCAGTAGCTTCCTGGTACACGAAAACTATCTTCTTTACTGTTCATCCCTGAAGGTACAGTAATGTTCCACCGTAGTACTGTTATGGATCTCAACAGCAACCTCACAAATCCTCTTCGTATCTTGTTTTCTTCTTTCATATCAAACTAAACACTACTTATCAAATTAAACATCCTCTTTCACACAAACAAAGGTAGGAAGGAAAGAATTTTGAAAAAACAACATTCTATGCTTTTGTTTAAGTTTTATTGAAAATATGCGTACATTCGCTTCATGTTTTTTAGAGGAGTTGAGCATCCACATTAAATGCATTATTGCTCACTTCGGCAAGTTGTTTCTGTGTTTACAGGCTTGGATAACACGGTTGTAGGAACTTCCAAAGCTTTAAACAACATGCATTAGTTATCATCAAATAACAGCCTTTCACTAGAATACGGCATGAATTTTTCTTGTGTGTATATTCCAACGTCACTTCCTCAAAATTCACTTCATTTGCATGAAACCACACAAGGAAGCTTAAGATCCCATTTGATCAGTCTTCCGAAGAAACCAATATGATTAAGTATATACGGTACTTTTAATATCATACACGTATAACCGGTCTTTGTTACAACTAACCATGTCATTCTTCTGCCAGCTCTACCAGTTCAGAAGTACGACGATAGAAAATAAAGCACCATTTTTACAAAATGGCTTCACTGTATATATGATTACATTTGGCAGCAAAGGGGATTTCATAAGATAAACAACAATATTTGACACAATTTTAGAAAATGTAAACAAATTTGTTTACAGAAAATTTTGAATCTCAGGGAACAACAGGACATGGGAACTGGAAGTTCATTAATGTGCAGCATTAGGCCCAGTGTTACTTATATAATACATTACAGTGAAGTCACCAAAAATATGACTCACATTTTTACAACACGTTTGGCATGTTTAACTTGCCAGGACCTTGGGGACCAGCAAATACAGATGATGATGCCTGTTTCAAGGACTGTGAACAAAGGAACAAGGATACCTCAGCTCCTTCGAGCTTCAACTCCTTTTATAGCTTTTAGCCACTCCACAAATTCATCAAGCATAACTGGCCCTAGGAAAAATTGAAGAAACAAGCACTAAATTACTAAATGATCAAATCTATTAGAAAGCTACATGATTAATTAAAACCTCCACACATTATTATAAGAATATGACAAAATTCCTTCACAGTAAAACTAAATAAAAATAGTTACTTACATGCACCATCCACATCATAATTAGATAGATCATTAGCTATCGTGCGTGAAAATTCTAAGATATTACACCATTGGTCCTTATTGATCACTTTGTATTTTGAGTGTTCCAAAAAATTGTTGAATTGTCCAAACAAAACCCAATGTTTGCCCAGCAATAACTGAAGCATCGCTTTGGCTGTTTCTATGTCCATGCTTCGCTGATCTTTATCCTGCTAAAAGAGCAACTTCTTTTCACAATATATTCCATAACCATGTACAAATTATAACCATTTTGAATGCAATGTACAAACTTAACAAGCAGATTATTCTTGTTACACATAAATTGTAATTATAGCAAGTGTTTCACTAAGCATTATAACTACCACAAGTGTCTATGTTCTTTGAAATTATACATAAACATACCCGTGCAAAATCATATGCATATCTGTAAATACTTTTGAATGTAACTTGGTCATTTAACAGTGATCTGAGGTAGTCCAACTTGCTTTGAATCTTCGGAATAGTGTCACACCTATCATAATAAGAAACATGAATAACGTTTACAAAAATGCTTATTATGAAATTTCTTAATAGCAAACCAAACAAAACGTGAATAAACAAAATGCTTACTGTAAATCTACCAAGCCTCTTAACCATTCCTGCTGAGTAAAAAAACCCATTTGTCGAGCATTCATTTTCCATGCTAATACAAGCATTACAACATTTTCTGGTCACACCAATATTTCACAAAATTTTTTCCATACCGCTAAGACGTCATGGAACTAATGCCATACAATAGAGAGAATCAATACTCAACATGCTCGCAATCTATTAACACCCTTCATAAGCCTAAGTATTGGATCATTCAGCGAGATGGTGTATTCAGCGGAACATTTTTGGCTGAAGGAAGATGTATCTTCCGATTTTGAAAATCGTCTTGAGCTGTAACAGCAAACAAAAGAAGAAAAAAACTTCAAAACATCAATGAAATAATTTACAATAATGTGTAGATAAAAGACCTTGCAACAAACCTTGTAGTATTCCTAAATCTCTTGTTGGAATGCCTGTCATCATCATCAGGCCCCATATCAACAACACTCCGCCTTTTGTTTCGCGGCATGATAGGGATACCAATTTGGTTCCCTTTTGCAAAATTAGGTCTTCCACTGGTTCCAGAAACAATGAAAGAAAAAACATCTAATTCAAGATTCATTTAGGAATGAAGTAAATGAATGGTAATAGTACTTTTCAATTACTTCTTCCTTAGGTACCAAATAATAACTGAACCAATAATTTGAAGGACATGTGTTATAAAAAGTATTCAACTACCAAACACAAAAGAAAACATCAATGACAAAACGTTCTGAACAACCCCTTTGTAGCATCAATGCGAGTTGGCAAATGTATATTAAAATTTGGACTGGAATTCATCTAAAAGTTCACTTTTATGAAATTGAAATTTCTACGAATAATTGTTAACAACTAATTATAACATTCATATTAATTTTTAATAAATGATGTATATCATTCATAAGTTGCTTTTAAAACTCACTAAATTTTGAAAGGTTGTAAATACTTTAGATGTTCAACCGTAGCAAAAGTACGAAAAGCAAAAGCTTTAAGTTTGAACAACAAAAAGATTGATGTTACAATTTACATTGTTCTAGCAACATTGATTTTCATTAATTTTAAAAATGTTTCATATTTCATGTAACAATATTCATTAAAAAGTCCTCTGAAACATTTTAAGTCACAAAGATTGTTTTTTCGTTACTAGAAAATATATTCTAATTTATGACTAGAGAATATGGATAAAATGTTATGCAAAGCATTTATAACTTTTCAAAGTTACAATACCCCATTCTTTAAGGAGATACTATGGTCAACTTAGTTCTCATCAATTGTTATTACAAGAAAAGTGTAAACTTACCAGGAAGAAAATAAAAAAAACCTGACAATACTCTCAAGCCTGGAGTCAATTATTTTCTTTTATGAGTGTAATGCGCCCGTACACAACACTTTTCAATGTTTCAAAACATATCTCTGAACTTCTCCCACAAAGAGTATGAACCTAAGAAACGAATTAAAAATGAATTAAGTAACCCTATAACCTCGTGGGCGTCAAGCAATCCAAAAAGACACCGCTACATTAAACAATCGCAGATGGAACCTCAAATTATATTTTCCATCTGTAGATTCTTACAGTAACATGCTTTTTTCATCATCGCATTTCAGCACAACATTAGCACATATAAATCGCTCATCAATGCGGGCACGGTAAGTCAGGGACGTCCCTTCCCTCGACCTAACTACAGAGGACTACATACATGCAGAAATAAAGTCCCACCGTACCGGTGAAAATATAAAAATGAAAATTTAATAATCACTTAAATAGAATTCATTTCAATATGATTTTCTAACGAAATAATTCCTTTTAGAAAGGTGTTAACAATTAATACTCAGCACCGTAATGCTGAATAACCGAGTGGTACTAATAAATAAATTCAAGCGACTGGAAGTGCAAAGTTTTCTCGACAGATGGTACACCTTGGATTTCCCAGCACTCTCCAAACGAGGAAAGCTGAAAATCGAAATGTCAAAGTGTTTTTCGTGAAAGAGTGTCTACTTGCTTTCAAGAAAAAGTGAGGTTGGAGTGTACAAATCGGGAAATAGTTTTTGTAATTGCAAACTTAATTGCAAAAAAAGTTTTGTGTAAAACTATGTATTTAAATCTTGTCATTACGATGACATTAGTTTTTCAGGCCCCAAAAAATTCGGGCTGAAAGGTACACTAGACACTAAAAGTGGCATTTCTTTTCAATGATTTGTTTCGTCCAGAGTGCACTATTATGTGATACGTAATTCCCCGATTTGGTGGATATTCACAATCTTTCAATGTCGATTTTGCTGAAATCTTTTATTTACATGTTTTTTTAGTGTTTCCCTGTAAAAGTCTAGTAGACAGCATTATCTAACGCAAGTTAGAAAGTGTTTGCGTCCTGGCGTGTGTTGTTTTGTGGTGTAGTGGAAGTGAAGTGTTAGTGGAAGAAGCAGAGTGGAGGCAGAGTGTAATTAGCCTAGTGGTGATTGACGACTGCAAAACTTAAATCATTGTCGGGGTTAAATCATTGAACGGAGTCGTAATGTGAAATTGTGATTCGGGTGACTCGTGGCAAGTGCGTGGTAGTGAAAACATTTCTATCGTAAAGTCTGGAACAGGGCCATGTAAATACTAAGAAATTAAGTGCACACATACGAGAGGACGTCCGTGGTATATAAATGCGTCGTGTAATTCGACCGCCACATACACGAAGCAACTAACGAGTGCCATGGCTTCAAACAATCGGAAGGCGCCACCGCGCTGGCTGCCGAAAAATGCTGACGATCGAAATAGACATGCAGCTTCGCGCGCCCCCCAAATGGGGGGATCATTACACGCTAAAAGGCGCATAGATAACAAAAAAATCCAAGAAACCTTGGATGAAATGTTTTATAAAGTTTTCGATGCAGAAATTATTCGTTCCGTTGCGCATAGTTGTGGTTGGAAATGTAAGTTAATCTTTTTTTATTATATTTGTAAAAATTAAAATTAAGTATAAATCGACATTTAAGCATTGCTTGTGTTAATGAATATATTATGTCATTTTTTCTATCATTTTTCCAGTGAATAAATCCATTGAGACATTAATGATGTTGTCAGAAGATTGTGAGACCCCAAATGCTAAACTGGCTGACAATTTTGGAACTAATAGTAGTTATAAATGTCAGTTAGGTCCCAACTATGTATCGAAGGAAAAGTCTTCAATATCAAAGTCTAGATGGGCAAAAGATAGTTGTAAATATGACGAAAATAGTGAGAGAGAGGCATGTGGTGAAAGTCCTTTTACTTGCACAACAAAGAAGTCCATGCAGCCCAGCAAAGGCAAAAGCGTAATGATGAATGCTAGTCAAGGATCCATTAAAGTCAAGTATAAAGGCCAAGATGACAGTGACATCTCTGATGATGATGCTGATGTTGTAATTGAGGAAGAAAATGAATTTGTCATGAGTGAACTTGATCTTCCGTTTGTTGATGAGTCCACTCGGTCAATGTATCAATTTTTAACACCATATGTACCCTTGGAGCAGTCACTTTGTTCTAATGGAATGCAATATTCTCGGGTTTGTGCATCTAGGCAGAATAGTCCATGTGTTCCTTCCAATAAATGTTCTGTGAAGCCTGGACAGTCTCCTTCCAAATTGTCTAATAATATATGTGATAAATCTTCAGAGAAGTCACCAGGAAAGAAAGCAAAACATTGGCCTAAACTTGAAAGAATTAGAAGGCTAATTAACGAAGGAATTAAAGTAATGGTGTTGATGCGTGGTTGCCCAGGCAGTGGGAAAACATCTTTAGCAAGAAAGATAATAAAATCAACTCATGGTCAAGATGAGCAAAAGTACATATTTTCTACAGATCATTATTTTATATTTGTTGGAAATGGCAAGTATAAGTTTGACCCAAGATTGCTCCCAAATGCACATAAGTGGAATCAAGATAGGGTGAATGAAGAAGTGAGGAAAGAGACAAATCCTATAATAATTGATAATACAAATCTTGAAGCTTGGGAAATGGAACCTTATGTTACAGCAGCTGTAAAATATGGCTACAGTGTGGAATTTCTTGAACCAAGGACATCGTGGAGGAATAATGCATTTGAACTTGAACATAAAAATACACATGGGGTAGCTCGGAAGAAAATTGAAGATATGCTATCACGTTTTGAGCGTGAACTCACTCCAACTAAACTATTTGCTCTCTATAATTTGAAATATTCTTCGAATAATTTACCACCTCAGTATGTGTCCCAACAGAAACATTTAACTAAGGATGATGAAGATTCCATAAAACATGGTACTAAAAAGAAATTAAAGAGTAAAAGAAAAGAAATTGAATATATTGAAAGTGTGGTTCAAAATCGTTTACAGGTTTGTAAAAATGAAGTTGCAAGACAACTCAAAGTCTCTGAAACGCTTAGTAGTGATTTTACTGATGATGATATTAAAGATTCCATTAGTTTGCTGGTATCAGAGTTTAATCGATCAATGGAGATGGCAACACATCAAGAAATCGATTTTTCTTTAGAAAATGTTCATCAGGAAGATGGTTTGAAAATGGCTCATGGAGTTTCTGATGAAAATAACTGTGATGATTTGGTTCGTAATATTTCAGAAAATTTATTAAAGAAAGAAAGAAGTGATGAAATTACAGAAAAGGATTTTAATATTTTTGCTGGGCTAGATTCAGAAATAATTGGTGATGATGAAGGAGATTTTGTATCTGGTTGTTCTGAAAGTTCTGGTGAGGTAAATTGTCCAGATGATTGGGAAGGTGAATGTGAGGATATGGACTTTAAGTGCAGTGGTGGTACATTATCTGATCCTATTGATAAAACAGCTCATTTAAAGAAACGAGATGTGGAGGATATTACTGGTCTGGAATATGTTTTGGTTATGACTGATGGAACACTACTTCCTCAACGATCATATTGTAAAGAAAAAGGCAATTCTTCTTTGAAGGGAAAAGGCAGAGAGTGGGAATATCTTCTCATGACCGATGATGATTCTAAACTTATGTTTCTTCCTATTGAAAATAACACCTCACAGAATATGGATAGTAAGAAGAGTGCTGAAGTGATTCCTGATAGTTTCAAAGTCGATGCACCTATTTTAGCTTCTTCAGCAGACCTACCAGAGCAGGTAATGGAGGATTCAAAAACATCTAAAAATACATTTTTACAAAAGATTGCTGCTGAGGAACCTTCGTTAGAATATTTACTTTTTCGTAATGAAAATATGGAGGATATACTAGGTTCTGATAATGTGATAGGAAATAGCAAGGATGAAGATTCTAATTTAGTTTCCTCTGTGAATAGTAATTACAAAGGTTTAGACCTCTTACTTGCTGAAGGTGCTGCATCATTAAATATTGTTTTTGCTGGTGTAGACGATGCATTGTCTCCTGGAGGATCTCCTGTAATTCACAATCCTGATGTTAGAAGTATAAGTAAAGAGCATTGTCCTGGCATCAAGAAAAGTGGTAACGATTCTTTGCAGATTGATTCAAAGGAAACCAAAATTGTATCCATTAAAGAAAATAAATATAATGAAACCTTTCTGCCACAAAATAAAGTATTATCTAATTCAAATGAGTTATTAAATTTCATGGATATTCATCCTCATGATAACAAGATTAAGAAAGTGAAAGAGGAAAAATTTATTGATATTGCAGCAAACTCTTATGTTTCTGAATTTGAATCTCAAATAGAAACATTTGTTGAAACAAGTGTTTCGTCTGATGTCACAGAAAAAAATAATGAAGATTTGTTTTTTATGAATTCATTTTGTGAAACCAAACTAAATAATGAAAGAAGTGCCTTGGAAGGCACTGTTGCTAATTCATGCTCTCTTGAAGATAACAATAAGAGCGTGAGAGAAGAAGACATTTTAGAAGAATGGGCAGAAGGAACTGGATGGGATGAACAAGAGTCTTCAAATGCTAAAAAAGTTATTTTACATCCTGATACCTCTCCAAAACCAGCTCGAAATATCAGGCGACACATTTCTGTGGAATCTAGTCCGCAAAAAATCTCATGGAAAGAAAACAAAGATAAAATTCATGAAACAGTTGCTGCTGACAGCTGGTTTGCAGTAGACGAACCAGTAGCCACATGGAGTTTAGAAAGTCAATCGTTAGACAAAAATATAGAGAAATCATCACAGGTGATTGAGCCTCAACCTCAAAGAGAACTATTTGCTTTGGCCTGGGAAGATGTAAATAAAGTCAAAAAAGAGAAAATGACTGGTAAAGAATTGAGAAAATCAAGCTATGGTAGTTGTAAAGAGTATACAGGTAGAACAGAGGAGACTTGTTTGAAATCTGTTGCTAATGGTGATCATGTAAAAGTAACTGATAACGTGGAATTTGCAGATCAAATTATTGCAACAGACACTGCGGCAGAAAATTTGAAAGAACAAATTATTGCAAGAGATACTGTGACAGAAAATTTGGAAGAACAAGTTATTGCAACAGACACTGTGACAGAAAATTTGAAAGAACAAATTATTGGAACAGACACTGTGACAGAGAATTTGGAAGAACAACTTTTGCAACATTCACATGACCAAAAAATTAGGAGAACAAATTAATTGCCATACAGACATAGTGGCAGAAACATTCTGAAAGATCAAATATATTGCAACAGACACAGTGACAGAAATTTTTAATGAAGCAATTGATTGCACAGACACTGCTGCCAGAAAATTTTGAATGAAAAATTAACAGAAAACACCAGTGACGAGAAAATTAAAAACAAATATCGCAACAGACACAGTACAGAATTTTTATAAATAATGATTGCAACAACACAGTTACAAAAATTGAAATAACAAATAATGCAGGCAGACACAGCAGTGCAGAAATTTTTAATGAAGAAAGGATTGCAACAAACCCTGTGCCAGAAAATTTGAATGAACAAATTATTGCAACAGACACAGTGGCAGAAACTTTGATAGAACAAAGGTCAACCCCAGCTGTTGAGTTATATTTTTCAGAAAATGAGTTTATGGGTGCTAGTTGTAGTACTATATCTGAGTCTCAAAAATCTGTTATTCATTCTTCCACAAACACTCATCATTCAGATTTTATTTTACTTGGCAATGTGAACATGGGATCTGAAGAAGAAGTCCCTGGAATTAAAATTCTCCCTACATTTGGTCGAAATATTGTCGATAATCGTGTGACAGGAAACAAACAAGATATGAGGAAGATGGGCCACATCCCAATGTTTGATAAAAGCTCTATGACTTATGACATTGTATCTTCTGTTCCAGATACAGAAAATATAAGGGAACAGCTCAGGGAATTGCTTAGCATATTTCCACATTGCCGTATTGAAGATTTGCAGGAAATCTTTGAGAGATGCAATAGGGATATCAATTGGACTGTAGATTTGTTGTTGGAATCTGCCAATCAAGGAATTGAGATTTCAACTCCAAATAGTTCTCACGAAATTGAACCTGAAACATCTTTACATGTTGAAATAAGTCCTTTTACAGAAAATAGTGAAATGATAGAAAGCTCTAACTCTGGAGTCCCTGATAATGCTAGTCTCCCTGCTGAAAGACTGGCGTCTGTTTCTGTGCACTTGTCATCTGAAACTTCTATGAAATCACCATTACCAAGTAAACGCAATGGTAAAAAAGATCGAACACCAGTTTCAGAGATGTCTCTGCTTCTCAAAAAGCAACTTGAGGAAAATATTGTTATTAACGAAGAGCATTATTCTGAGCACGTTTCTCGCCTTCGGAAGTTACGCCATGGCGAAATAACAGATTTAACGGAGGTGTCTGGGAGTGTCCAGGAGGTTGCTGAAAATATAGATGAACATAGCCGTTCTCAGACCCTTTTAGATGCAAGTCCAAATGAATTGCTGCTTCAAGACACAAATGATCCTGCTTTAGGTGCTAGTTACTTTCTTCAATCAGAAGAACCAGAATGGGGTGTGCATGAGATGGTAGCTAAGGACATGGTTGAAGAGGAAGAAGAGACAGTTGCAATAAAAATTGATTTGAGTTTTGCTGAACAGCTGCATAACTTGTTTGGTACAGCCAACTTACCATTTAATCGAGGTGAGGGTTATTAGCTTTTTTATTTCTTATTTTCAAGCTTTGAAACAATTTTTCATGACTCAATTGAAATGGGCAAAATACTGTATTCACTAGGGAATAAAGTGCTTGCAATATGAGTGTTAAAATCCACCTTATTTACTATCTTTTTTGCTTGTTTTCTTTCTCAAAAGGAAGTGTTATATATCCAAACAAATTTAGTAAATTAAATTGTGGTTATAATCAATTTTGTTTTTAAATCTTTTTTAGATATGAGACCAACCTTGAATTTACCGCTGACGTTGGCACGCCAACTTCATTATTATATGATGGAGGCTGAACAAAATACATATGATCTTATGATGCAAGAAGGTAAGCAGGAAAGAATAATTTTAATTATAAAGGAGATTCTAAAGTGTGTTTAAGGATACTTTACTTCGTAGACAGGATGTAAGAGTTGAAAAAGTTTTTTAGCATCTTGGAATGGAAATTGCTTCTCAACGTCTAGGTTAAGGTAAAATAGTTGATATTTTACTAATCCATGAGAAATAATTTTGTCGAACACTTACTTTATTACAGATTTCTTTTGATCAGAAAATGGGAATTTGTGTTCTGGGTTTGCCTTTGCCACAAAGTTTTGATATTTAACAACTGTCATTATAATTTAATAAAAAGAGCAATTTATGATAAATAGTCACTTAATATGGGTTTGTTATCTTTCCTAAAAATATGTACCTCAAATTGGTAGTTTTTTGTTATTTCTCTGATCAACTCCAGGCGAATGCCAGTGCATTACTCTAACAAATGGGCCACGGGCCACTTGTGATCTTTCCTTCCTCTTCCTTGTCCTATCCTCACTCCTTACAAACACTTGCACTAACATGCACTACACTACCACTCATGCTGGGAGACCTGCCGGGAGCTTAGAGCTTGTCCTAGCTGGGGCGGTGCCCCGCTGTTTCTCACCATCCAGCGGGGGATGATCACCGCCTCCTCCCGAGGAGAAAAAAACATGTACTTACACCTACGGGACTAATGACTTCTGCAGTTAATGGACTCTGAATCGCCAACAACCAACCAACTCAGAATCTTGCATGCTGCACAACTATTTCAGTATGAACTTCAGTGACTCTTTTTTTTTCTATCTGACCTGCAGCCATTATAGCAAGGCCATCCAACTGGTAGTCTGTGATGCCATTTATTATGGCCCGAAAGGTAATTAGACAAATGTAAAAGACCCTTGAATCCATGTTGGGTGAGAATATTCCATCTAGTGTACGTGCCCTATTGGGGTCAACACACACTTAATGTGATAATAGGTTACGTTTAGATTAAAGGAAATGTTCTCTAGTAAATTCCGAAATTCAAAATCATACCTATGGTAGAGTCTGATATCATGTGTGGTTCCATCTGCCTCCCCCTCCCCCATTTCACAGCAGCTGGGCCAAGATCATCAATATGGGCTCATGTGTGGGCCCTCGAGTAATGAAAATATGTCACGCAACCATGTTATTAGTTTTATTTGTGGCCCTTGAGGCATTGAAAGTTGGACACTCTTGCATGGTAAGATACTTAGAATGACAGTTTAATTACAATTATTTAGTTTATGTTATTGATAAAATTTTTTATATTAAAATTTAATTTCAATATTTAATATTACTTCTAGTTTTTTATAATTTGAAGTAGCTTGATTTTGCTTTTACTAGAATCTAAATTTGTTTTGTAGCACTGGTAATGCGTGTGCCCAGAATTTTGAAATAAACAGTTGTAGTGGGGTTAAGTTTGATTTTCAATTCAGAAAATATTACAAATACCACATCACATTCTACTATTTCTTGGACATTGCATACAACTTATTTCACTGCATACAACTGGGTACATAATTTAGGGTCACCAGCAGGGGTGGATCCTGCCAATCATGTTGGAGGGTGCAATCGTAGATTTTCGTTAATTAATAAACATTTGTTATTACATTGTTCATTATTTTTGTAGGGTAAATATACTATTATTTTAAAATAATTACATAATTGTAACATAAATATTTAAATCAATTGTGTCAAATAAAACAAGATAAACAAAAACCCTAAGCCTTTTGGAGGGGGCCATAACCCCCATGGCCCCCCTCTGGATCCGCCACTGGTTACCTAGGACCTAGTAGAAAAAGTCAGAATCATTGAGTTAAAAATAAGGAATTTTTTTTTCATGAGATACAGGTTCGGTTTTTGTACTACAGTAGAGAGATCATTTTATATGTTAATTCTGCTTTGTACGGTAAATTATGACTATGTCAACTTTATGATTAAGGATTCTTCCAATCTCCATTTCTGTATTTCCTGTGCAATATAAGGATAAGACATACCTATTGTTCTTAAGAGTTAGAAACACCGAGTTTCAATTCTTAAAAAAAAATGTTTTTTCTCTAAAACTGTATTCTTTTTTGTATATTTATGTTAAAAGTAGTAAAATTACAATAAACAGTAAATAGATGACACAAACTAAAAAATCAGGACTTTTGACAACAAATCAGGACAGTCAGGACAAGATCCAAAAATCAGGATGTCTGGTAACCCTATATAATTTTATTTATATAATAAAGTTACTTCTGATTGGTAAACTGGATAGGTGGGAGTGCTGATGAGAATGATATTTTAATGTTTCTTTTCTTTTTCTTTCCTGTCTTCTAGTTTTTCTGTTATTTCTGTTCAAAATTTAAGTATTTGTACATTGTGCAGATGAGGAATTGGCTCGTAATCTCCAAGTACAAGAAGACCATGTTAGTGCAGAGGCTCTTGTGTCATCTGCCAATCAGGTGCCTGACTTGCGTGAAATCATGGATATGGAAATGGCCCTTGCTCTGTACAAAACAGATCAGGTATACTTATGAGAATTTATCATTTTGTGAACAACTTTGTACAATGTAGGGTGTAAGTACCTAATGGGAAATATCTTAAAAATTGGTTATAAAGAAGTCAACAATTCTTAAAATACTATTGTTTTGATTTGTAATAAGCAATTTGTCAGGGAAATTTAAATTTTCATGTTCATGGGAAATTTACAATGTGTTAAATGATGCAACCTTGGTATTATGAGAATTCTTCTCATCTTCATGATCTACTTTCAAGACATTTCCCATTAATTAAAAATCGATGTCAAGAAAGCTAGCATGAGTTTGGGGGTAACCTTCTGAATTAAAATTACATCTAGTTTCTTTCATATCTTCAACCTTTAAACACATTTTGTATATTTTTCTTTTCAGATATAAGTAGTATTTTCTTTTACTATCATTTCATGTGTTGAATGAAAGTTGATTAATTTTCTTTAGCTTACATGTTGAAATAGCTTTGGTATGTGTTGTAAATTGTCAAAAATTATAACATTAGTTATTTTGCTAGTGAAGAATTAAAATAATGAGGAAACAAAAATACAGGTTGAGCCCCCTCGTTAACAAGGGGATATTATGTTGTACCGGACACAATTATGTTTGATCCCAATGGGAAGCTTTAATTTCTGGTTTCCCCCAGCATCAAATGAAAGAAAACGGCAAGTTCTCTGATATGAATGAACAAAAGTAATAACCAGAATTTAAGTGGTGTATATAGCCCTCCATCAAGTTATTATTTTAGACTTTTGATGCAGACACTTGAAATAAATTACGATGCATTTGATTTTTTAATATCCAGGAAGTGAAGATTTATAATGTCTACAAATGCTTATTTCAGTGAGTTAGTACAGTGAAATCTGTCTTTTAAGTGGTCACTAATGGTTCTGGCAAAAACTGCTCATTAATATAGATGGCCACCTAATCTAGCTTATGAAATATTGAGAAGCTTGGATCAGGTCTAATCAAGTGAATTGCTGTAAAATCAAGTATGGTTTTGCTAAAATAAATTTAATTGCCTTAAACTACAATACACAACTTAAAACAACAAACTACTCTTCACTTGAGATAAAGATTAATCTGTTTTTTCCTGGATTACCCCCCTCCAAAAAGAAAAATGCTGCAGAAGGATTTCTTTTTGAGTTTCGCTGCAAAGCTTTCAAAATTTACAAAATTGTGCAGCTTTTTTTATAACTTCATGAAATACGTGTCTTACTCATAAAAATATCTGTACATTTTCTAACTGAAACATTTCTTGTTTTCTAGAATCACATGCCTGGTCTGTGTTAGAGTCAAATGAATTGACCATTTGTAATGCACTTTCCATTCTCATAGCTCACAAGTAAACTAGACTTAAAAATGCAATTCACATCCTAAGGGCAGGGCTCTCTCATGAAATCGTATATTAATGTCTATCTGATCAGTTATCCACATGTGGCATATTCTGCTGGCTGTTAACATACTATTCCCACAGAGTTACATTAGGGGTTAGCAAACTTAATGAGAAAGCTCTAGTATATGCGAAGTTGTATGCATATTTATTTGTGAAGAGGTGCATCTGTTTTTGTCTTAAACAGAAATTCAACCCTTTCCAGAAGAGCGACTAGATGTCACTGTTCTAAGTAATCTGACAAGGCATCCTGTCATAGGAAATATTGAATCAACAGTGTATCCATCGCTTTCCTGTTTTTATTCTATTTCAGTTCAAATTCACTAATGGTGATCACTTAGTTGAGGTCTATGTTTTAAATGTATCTCACCACTGTCCATCTGGCAAGGTTACTTTTCAAAAGTGGGATAGTTTACTCCCTTATGGAAAAAATCCATGAAAAAATAGCCATTAATTAAAATTACTGCTAAATTGGGGTGGCCATAAGGACAGATTTGTTCTAACTAGCTAGTGTCTGTTTGTTCATTGATGGTTTCATTTTTACTTTCTCGTTATTACTTACACAGTTTAGAGAAAGCATTGTAATGGTGCAGGAAAAAAAGATGAATTTTTGTCTGAAAAACTCTTTTCTGGGCCCTAGTAACAAAAAAGTAGATAAATCTTGGTCTAAAAACAGTAAGTTACATCCTCTAATACTTATCAGAATTGTGGGTCTTTGATACCTTGAAATTCATCGACAGGAAATCGTGCGCCTAACTTATTCACCTGTTTTTCCCCAAAATTGTTATTCCCCAATCCATCCGACTAATGCCACGGCCCTTTTAATTTGAAACAGCTATTTTAATTTTCGGGATACTTACATGAAGTCCCTGGGACATTTTCAAAATTTAGAAAAAATGGGGCCAAATTTTTTGATTAAATTTTGTTATCGGATGGCATAAAGAATGGTTAAGACAACGTTGAAGGTCTTGTATTCATTAAAATACCTAATATTTTGGAAAATTGCTAAAGTTTAGTTTTTTCTGTGCCTCCCTACGGTATTGAAGATAGTATTTTTTTCCTTTATGAAATAGTTCTGTAAAGACATGTTTAAATATATACAATTACACATAGACAATTATTCAAAAATTTGAATAATTTTAGCTTAATTTTGGATGAAATATAGGCAATTTTGATTTTATTAAAACAATTTTTCTTTAAAAAAACAGCACCAAATTTTTTGATTAAATTTTGACCTCCAATAGCATAAAGTTTGCTGAAGAGAATGGTGCAGATCTCATTTTCTTTGACATATGTGTATTCCTACAACTTCCTACAATTTATGAAGGTACATTTTTTTTCTAATGAAACGTGTTCATCAAAACCAGATCTTCAAATAAGGACATGTTCAAATTTTAGAAAATATGAGTATTTGTTTTATGTTATTTGCTTCAAACATAAGCATGTTTTAACTTTTGAACAATTATTTTCTCAGAAACTGCTAAAAAAATTTCTTACTTTTTTTTCACATATGTAGTACTCTAAAGAAGGAGATGCTGGTCTTATTTTTGATGCACTCTCTGTATTTTCGAAAATTAGGGATAAAAACGATGAAATGGTAAATTTGAATATCCTGCGCTTTGTTTGAGGCGGTGTTGCTGTCATGATTACTGTCTGATTAGCAGATAAATTTGACACAACTATTATTTATGTAAAAATGGAAATGATAAATATGTTACAATAAGTTTACAAAAATTGTAAACTTATTGTAATGTGGTAAAGTTAGTTGTTTTTTTGTTTTTTATTTGGTAAGGCTAGCAATAAACGTTGGAAAATTTTGTAGTATTTGCCCTAAATTTACATATATTCAAATGTACTCAATGTGAAAGGGCAAGGTGGTAGTTGGAAATATTTAACTGCAGTATGTACATATTTGTTTATTAGTATTTGTTCATTTATTAATTCATATTTATTTATTTATTTATTAAATAATGGTGGCAGCAACAACCTGCTATACACACATCATACATAAAAAAGTGTTAATTTTACACAGTTAAAAGAAACTATGTATTGATTAGATTTCAGTTCATATGTATCACATGTAATTTGTGAAATTATGAGTATCCAAACTATTCCTAAATACGTTCAGGGATTATTTTAACTTTTTCAAAAGCAGACGTACAAAGTTGGGACAGATTTTGGACATCGAGTTGGCAACATAAACAAAACAGTTTAGCCATCTTTTTGCTTTACTGCTTTCTGGGACATCAATAAC